ATATTTGGAATTAATTTCCATCACACAAACGGTAATCCTTGACATAAGGGGTAATACAGTGCCTTGCATAAGAAACTGAACATCGCATTTCTGCACGCGTTGTTTGTCCGCGCCAAATATACCCTTTTCGGGTATCGGCAAATGTGCGGCAAAGACCCATCGAGAGGGAGGGTAGAGAGGCATACAGCTGGGGGCAGAGTATAATAATTTACAGCCCTTAGTGTAGTGTTAGAATATACATTCCATGCATTCTCTGAAGCCTTTTGAGCCCTCTCGGGGCGTCTGCGAGTCCTTGCCCAGCAAACGGTCTCGCGAAAGGCCTTCCAGACCTACCCGAAAAGGGTATATTTGGCGCGAACAAATAACGCGGGCGGAAATGCGATGTTCAGTTTCTTATGCAAGGCACTGTAGTTCCTATTTGTTGGTGGCGGTAAGATTTGGATCGGTCCACCTACCATTTATGAACAGTGCTCCTATTACATTTTGAGTAATTCGGGCTGTAAGTGGTATAACCCCTGTTAAGCGCTCGCTTTCTCGATCACCAGAGAGCCCTATACAACTACTGAACAGTAAACCGATTCTAGAGGAATCGGAATGAAGCCGAGAGACGCCCACGTGATGGGTACGCGTCTCGGCATCAGAACTCGAAGCTGGACTCACCTTCACTCAAGGATCTGCGCGAACCGATATAGTATTGACCGTTTCCTTTCGCCTATCCCTTGGGCTGCACGCGTTTGCCTCGTTCCCCGCAGCGGTCTGGGTGGATCTAATATGTCTCATTCACCTTGATCTCTTTGCTCCAAGCCGCGCACTCGCTCACCCCCTGCTGAACCCCGCTCACGATGTATACCAAAGCTCCAACAGACTCCTGTATTCAGGACTCAGGTTTTATGGAACCCGAGTTCTGGACACAGTGTCGCGTCTCGGGGACTCTGGCCAGGCTTGAGGGAGTCTTGAATAAAGACAATGTTGATTCTTACTTGAAGCGACTGTCCTCTGCGCCCCATATCCTTCAGATATTCCTATCCGGTATGTAATCACTAGGGGGCCAACGTTTTGCGTCTGACGCGGGATATGTAGGGGCAAGCGACGGCCTGTTCTCGTTTGTCTCCAATGTGATAGAACGGGGCTTCCCAAGCGCGCCCGGCCTATTCAAAGATTCCACTAGCTCCATCATGCTCTCTCAATTGTCTCTCTCGCTATTCTTCTTGACGTTTCCTGCGGATTTTGCCGCTCCGAGCAACCTTGCAGACTGCCGACGCTCCGTTGAGCTGTCGATACCAGTCTTGGATGCTCTGCCTTTCCTAACTTTCCAGACCGAGGATCATGAGCCCGAGACTATTTATGACGACGACGACATGCCGTTCAAAGTCACACAGAAATCCCAGTCAAAAAATAAGAAGCATAAGAAACCCAAAAAGCCTGTCAACGATGAAGCACCATTTCGTAACCTTGGAGTCGACGTTCCATGTTCGCCTCAAGAGGCTGAGAAGCTCGGGTCTGATATCCTTGCCGACCAAAAGGGGATATTATTGGTTAGTTTATAACCACCCAACTCATCACCGTCACGGTGATCCCTGATCTGCTTTCCGTAGTATTACCTTGAGATTCTTCGGCGGCCTGGCCTGGGGGAGTACCTTCCGCGCCTATATGATACGGAACGAGAACAAAAGGGGGTCAAGGTTGATGTCGACTCCAGTGCGCAAGGGGGCCAGAATGATGAGCACATGGGAGTGCCTGCCATGGAGTCCGCATATCCCATAGTGCAACCGATGAAGGCCGCACTTTACTTCGAAAGCGCCAAGGGACTTGGGGACTGGCACATTTTCGTGTCAACTAGAGCAGATCGCGACCTGCGAGCGGCGAGGAAGAAGGATCCGGATACGTTCAAGATCATTGCAAAGAAAATTGGGTGAGTCCATGTTCTCCACGGCGACGCCAATTAACCAGAGGTTGCATACTGCAGAGACTTATCGAAGGGACATTTTTCAAAGGACAACCAGAAGCGCTTAACAGGACCGTCCTTGGATGTCCCCATCTACGAGGCGAAGATGACAGGGGACTTGCGATTAGTGGTAATGTCTCGAGAAGGTTCTTATATATGGAGCGCTCACGGGAATGTTTTAGTACCAAATCGACTGTATCCCCGAGTTCGACAGTGATGTCAGTAAATAATCTCCTCTTACTGTGCTGCTGATGGCTTCACTCGGCGTCATACTCCTCAGATCGAACGGCAAGGTGAGTTTGCTACAATTGCTGCCAGGCCTTGAATTCTTAAGTAATTGTTCTGTCTCCTTACATAGTCATCAAGATTTTCGGTATATACACGCATGCGCAGATGGACAATCGCTTGTGGGAATACGTGGGCCATCAGCTCTCCGGTAGAGGAAAAGAGTATCGGAGAAGGTATATCCCCCAATGTTGGACAGCACTGCAGTTACCGAGACAAACTAGGTGTATCTTCCGAAACAAACCCCTCAACTCCGGAGACAACGTCATCCCCCCTGCTTCCTTCCCCCCACAATCAGACGGAACGGAGGAGTCGTCACAGATCCTACCCCAAATCCCGCAGAACTATTTACAAGAGGTCGGTGATGCCCCAGTCCATTCGGCCCTCCGCTGACACCCGCTCCCTTCTCAGATCCATTCTATTCTTGTGTAAGTACAGTGACGAGATAGGCCCTGTCAGCTTTGAGTGATTTTGTCCCACATAAGGCTGGAGAAATTCGTTACATTATCACAGGTACGATCACCGCATATGTTCAATCTTCCAGCTGAATGCATGAGTCTTCTAGGCATTCCTAAACAGTAAATATAGTAGATAAACTGCTGGAGACATGATGTACTAAGAGCTGCGGTTTTCCAGGTATACTGGCCGATCGCGATGTTGCTCATGTCTTTGCCGTCTCGTGAGTGATGTCAGCTGTATAGACAGTAATTTATATTAAAATGCCAATGGGGACAAGACCGTATGAACGGGAAATCATTGAGCACACTTCCTCGTGCTACGTGATAGGTCGCAGCGGGACAGGGTAAGCCACCACCCGTACACACTGTCGTTCTGTACCCGGGCACTAAGATCATACTAGCAAAACGACGACAATGCTATTCAAAATGCTAGGCATCCAACGCTCATGGGAACAGCATAGTTTCTCTATGCCCAAGCCGCGTCAGATCTTTGTTACTCGCTCGCCGATCCTCGCAGTGAAGGTCGAGGAGTACTTTACGAAACTACTCAAGTCTCTTGGTATAGCATCCTCGAAGCCACGAGATCTGGTTCAGGGCGACGACATTGCCGGAGATTTGCAAGTGGTGAGAACACTGGCAGACCTCGATGAGAACGCGGAATGGAGGGTAGACCTTCCCAAACGATTCAGTCTTTTAAGGCCCGAGCATTTCCCGCTTTTCATCAGCTTCGACCATGTAAGCGGCCATCACATACCGCACTCACACTTTTTGATGCCCCCGTTCAGCTCTGCAGTATGCTGGAAGGAGATTTCGGGCAGTCGATTTCTGCATCAAGGGAGGTCTCTACGGAAACACATTCGACGACTGACGAAATATACACTGGGGGACGTCAGCCGGTAAAAGGGCATGATTCGATGGTTTCGTATGATAAATTCCTCGAAGAGTACTGGCCTCACTTGCCGCAGGCCTTGACCAAGGGATTGGGTGCGGTGCTGGAGTCGTCATTCGGAGGTCGCATCTACTAACTTTGGTTGCTCAACAGATCCTGCCCTCGTGTTCAATGAAATTATGGGTCAGTGATTTCAAGTCTTATAATGGGTCCAGAGTTTCATTCAACTCGTATATCAGGTGTTATAAAGGGCTCCGAGAAATCCCTGCATGACACGCGGCGGTATCTGGACAGAAGCACTTATTGTGCTCTGAGTCACCGGTCTCAGTCAACCTTTGTGCACCAGCGAGACCTGATATACGATATCTTTGAATGTTATCAGAAACTCCGCAGTCAGAGACGTGAATATGATGACGTGGACAGGTAGATGCGGTGCCTTATGCCTGTACTCTTTGTTGGCTCAACAGGTTTGCATAGAACTCACCACATCCTAATGCAATTGGAAATGAATGATATTTCGATAGGCGAACAGGTCGATTTTCTGTGAGTCCACCGAAGTCCACCTGTAATTCACGGAATTCGATCCTTATTGTGTCCCTAGCTACGTGGATGAAGTACAGGACAATCACCTCATCGATACATACTGCGAGTGCAATGACATTAAGAATATCGACCTCGCGGACTGACATAGGGTTCAGTGTTGAGACGCCTGTGCAAAAATCCGAATGGAATGTTCTGGGCGGGTGACACCGCACAAACCATCTCCATCGGCAGCTCATTCAAGTTCAATGATTTGAAAGCATTCCTCCATCGCCTGGAAGTGAGTGTCTGATGACACTCGCCCCCCAGTCCTGAAGGCTGATGTGGATAGTTTGCGAATCACGTTGAGGCTCGGTTGAAATCACGCTCCACCGTGACATACTCCCCAGAACCGCCGCGGACATTTCAACTTGCCATCAACTATCGCTCCCATGCTGGAATCGTCAGATGTGCACACTCGATTGTAGAACTTATCACCAGGTTTTGGCCACACTCGATTGACTCGCTAGGTGAAGAGAAGGGCATCGTTGAAGGTCTACGTCCAATCTTCTTTGGTTGTTCAGACTTAGACACTGTACGCTATGAACAATTTCTGTTCGGCGAATCGTAGGTGCTTAATCAAGCAAAGGAGGCTAGTCGCTGAAGTTTTGACAGCGCAGCCCGGATCGAATTTGGTGCGAGACAATGTAAGTTAATTGATATTCTCTATCAATCGGCTAAGATGGACTTGGCGTACCGCTACGATAGGTATACTCGTTCGAAACGAGACCGCGAAAGATGAACTCCGGCAGCATGTTGGGGACATAGGTGTCATCCTGTAGGTGGAAGTGCCCAGCCTGAGGACCATTTACATGAATAACCAAGGCCCTCTTAGGACATTGTATGAGAGCAAAGGCTTGGAGTTTGATGACGTGAATGGTGCCTCTCGGAAACCGCGCTGATGATAACTAACCATGTCATAGGTCTTGTTGTACAACTTCTTTGCGGACTCGAGTTGCACCCTGTCTCAATGGAGAATGATCCTAGCTGTTGTGGTAGAGATCGGACCGAGCGCCCGAGCGCCCACGTTCAACGAAGTGCGGCATGCTGGCATATGCAATGAAGTATGTCTACTCATTTAAATGTTATGCTCCTTCCCGTGCTCATGTTGATTGCAGCTCAAGTTTCTATATGTAGCCGTGACAAGGGCTCGCAATAACTTATGGATATATGATCCATCTGACAAAGCGCAACCTATGCAGGTACGGGATGGGTTAACTTTCTTGACTGACACTGATTTTGTTTCAGACCTTCTGGTCCACTAATGGCTGTATCGACTTATATACGTCAAAGATGGAGTTGCCCAAGCTCGCAGTGTCTTCTACTCCTGAAGAATGGTCCGGAACTGGGTGGAGTTTGTTCGAAAACCGGCGTTACTATCAGGCTATGCATTGCTTTCAACGAGCTGGCTTGAAGTACGAGACCGATATCGCTTCCGCGTACCATCTTCGGGATCATGCCAGATCAATTCACTCGCTCGCATCCGCGCGTTCGAAGGCCTTCATGGAAGCCGCAGATGCCTTCGTCGGTGTAGCGGCTGCCTCCAACCAACCTCGAGACAGGCTTACTTACATGAAAAATGCTGCACAATGTTACGTGCTGGCAGAAGATGTCCGAAAGGCAGCTCAGGCTTTTCTTGATGCCGAGGAGTTCACCCTCGCTGCCAGTCAGTATCAAAAGGCTGGCTTATTCGATGAGGCAATCGAAGTCATTCGAACCACCCAGGTGGAAGCAGATATAGCAGGCACTATTTGCCACACTGCGCGTCTGTTCTATCTCCAGAAAAAACGACTGAAGTAAGTTCACTCCTTTTCCAGCTATGTCCATAGTAATAACAGGTCGTCCAACCTTCAGACAGGCCGCAACTCTCTTTGACTCAGTCGAAGACGAGCTATGTTTTATGGAAGACTTCGGTTTTGACGATGTCAGGGCCGACGTTCTAGAAAGCATGGACAAGCATGCGGAGGCTGCGGCGATTCACCTTGAGGAGGGCCAGTTGTTTGATGGAATACGCCTGCTTTTAAAAGATAGGACCGATCCGCTCGCGCAGCAGCGAGCCAAGGAACACTTGAAGGATTGTTTTTGGCAGATCATGTCTCTCGACTGCGATGATGTGATATTGGATGCGGGTCGTATCGGCTCGGAACAACTACTGCACTGGACGCGGCAGATTGAGGAAACAACGGGAAGACACGGTCTTGATGATGAGGTCTGTGTTCCATCATTCCCCGATATGTTGTCTCGCTAAACAGGCTATAAGATGCGTATGTTCAAAGCTATCAGTTCTGGTGACTACGTCAGTCTGGAGCGACTGGGCCACATGCTGGCCAGGAGCAACTTGAAGGCTGCCGCCTTCTTGTGTTTTACTCACGTATTTCGTCCATGCTCCTTAATACCCACAATGTCGGCAAAGGAAGCAAGTGGGTTTCTCTCCAGTTTCGTCACCTACACAGAGCTCTTGCGCCATGTCGCTACTCACCAAGCCCCGCATATCAGTAAATCCATCTCCAAATTGTTCGGATTTCGACTCGAGCCGCAGGGATCCGTCCTCCTGCCAAAAGGTACATTTTTCCACAAGGTATCTTCACGGAAGAAGTCTCGTGTACTAGGGTCGAATGACGATGGCATTCGGCTTTCCGAGGCGCAATTCCTTGGTCTTTACAAGCACTCGCTAGCTGGTTATGCCCTTGATATTGTGCTCGAGGAAGATAATCATTGGCAGGAACTCAAGGCCTTACGTCCTTGTCTGGCGCTCGTCGCGTTTGGACGCTGCAACGCCGAGGATGTCTGTCCCAAAGACCACGTCCCCACCTCACGCCTGAGGGCAGATGCCTACAACACTCGGGTGCGCTTATGTCTGCAGCAGGTATTGGTTCTGAGTAATTTGCACTTCATACCATGCACCACAGAGTGCAGAGTGCAGAGGCAGCGGTATGTGAGCTGCGTCCCAGGACCGCCCCGCCTGTTCTCACTTTTGTGCTTGCAGAGCTGTGTTGCTTCGACTACATGAGGCTTTGTATCCCTCCCACCCTCTCTTAGGCGGCATATCAGACTTGGAACGTTCACAAATTCCGGAGGCCCGCACCGCCATTACGGCTCTAAGGCACTGTTTACAGGTCTTCTTTTCCCCCCGCCTCGATGCCATGCAAGACGAGTTCCTTGTAAACTTTGCCTGGGCAGCTAGCCTTACCTATTTCGTTGATGGTGCTCAGGCCTGTCAGTACCTATCCCGAGCGCCAACCGTCAAACACTTTACAGAGGGGTGTTCTAGGTTGTCTGCATCGCCCCTACGTCTCCTGCGGTTCTTGGAAAACACTGAAAGGACTTCCACGCTTGCAGGGACCTTGTTCTTGCGGTGAGCTTTGAATTTCTGTCCACGGAGCCGTAATCTAAAATATGAAATCAAGTGAGGCAGGAAAGATGAATGTGCCCATGGACGTCAATCTCTTGTGTAATTTCATGGAGAGTCTGTGCGGCACTCTCGTGCTGTGTCGCAATTACCAAAACGGAAACAAACATACCCTGCACGGTGTCACTCTTCCTCGGAACTGGCTCCTGACGCTTATGCCTACAATTGCGGACATGCAGTGGAAAGACACTCGTTACTTACGGGAGTTCAGCGAGGCAATGGTATCGATGTTGGATCATATCATCTTCGCTGGCCAAAGATGTGCGTTCTGTATATGGTGTTGTTTATCCAACGTCGCTCACGAGCGAAACCAGCGCGATTTATCTTTGAGGGCAGAGATTTCTCAAACTGTGGGGGTCAAGTGAAGAACGCTTTCATAGCTCGTATGTAAGTAATCATTCCCGCCTCGACTAGACGAGCTGCACTTACCCGTACTAGTTGCAGATGCATGTGTTTGCGTAAGTATTCACGATTAGAATGAAGTGTCCCAGTGAATAACTTCCAACCAAGTCGGATACAACGTCCGTGACGATAAGCTCAGGGATCAGATATTGAGAGACATCGTCTCACGGAAACCAAACTACGTCTTACCCGCCCTTTGTGCCAGGTACGATCTTACTAAGTAAACGTGAAACAGGTTTTAAAAACTAAGTACTATAGATACTTCGAGGCCACAACATGGGAGGGTCTCACCCGAGTTCTGAGAGGAGCGTTCAGTACCACCCGTGAAGGCATCAGACTTCCGGACCGGCTGGTACAATTACATGATGTGCGACACCCCGCCCCATCCCGATCCGTATTGCAGAATGTACAAAAACTCGTCTACAAGAATGTCGACGACATCTGCAACTTACTGCTCGTTACGTCGGGCTCTAGCGAACCAGCGTTATTAAGGCCTAATGCCGAGTCATTCACGCCTCGGGCGTCGGTACCTGGGATAAGGGAAGGCATATCGGAAGGACCGGCTGCTCCCGCTGACGACGCCGAAGAAGACCTGCAGGATATACCGGAGGAGGTTGCTCCTGACATAGTCGAGGAAGGCTTGGAAGCAAACGAGGACATTGGCGGAGAATATACTTGGGCTAATACGATCACGCCTGAAAGGATTCGAGCTGTCACGATCATCCAAACCGCATACCGGAACGTTCGCCGACGACAAAGGATGTTGGACGCCTGCCTGTCTACTCGGACTGGTCGTCTCTGGAGGGCCTGCTCGGATATTGCACAGTCTACCGACTCAATGGAGAAGCGCTACCGGTCCCTTTTCTTGGGTCCATTCGTGCATGCGCTGCTTTGCCTTGAAGTTCTCTATTCATACGCTTCGTTGGGGAAAGATGGGGCCAAGAAGAGATTTAAGAAAGCGCAACACCAAGAGTTGGAGGAAACCAGCGAACAGATGACGCATTTCAGGTACGCTATACGGCTCATATTCTTTGTAGATGTCGCTCACTGACGGTTCCCAGGAATCTCCTTCGACAAGTCATCGATTTGCAGAAGGAGCTGCAGCCGAAGTCTGACTTCCATCGCCAATCCAACGCGTCATCGCTCGTCGCACGCATGTCGGACATCCAACGACTGGTTCATGAAATCCGTGATCAGAGGCAACCCCTTGGCGTGGTAGAGAACTGCGATAAGAGATTGGATCGTGCCCTAGAGAGAGAAGAGCGACGCAAGCAACAGCCCAAGCGGGAGCCTTTGCCGCAGCTAGTCCTGGACGACGAGTCGGACCTTTTCAATGATGTTTGGTGAGAGCGTCATAGCCGTGGTACGGGCGTATGGTATCTGCAGACTCGGAGGGTTTGCAGTGACCTAGATGGAGACTAGACGAGCACTTGGTACTCTGAGCAGGACACTAGGAAATGCGTCGGAGGAATACTTCCGGCCACGGGATGTACATCATGTCAATGATCTATTTAGTGTTGTCACTTGTCGGTAGATTAGTCCTGTTGCCGGTGGTCCTCTGGACAGAACGTGGGCCACAAATAGTGCCAGCTATGGTCGTAGCATCTGATCAGCATCGCACAACTTCGACGATGGAAGTGAAAGCCAGCGGGAGAGCTCGTTAACGGTCAATCATGGGAACACGTTGGTTATCCAGGTTTCCCCGGCGGCGTTCAATTTATTCAATTTTACGGCCCGTCGCAGAAGAATAACCACGGCCCGTACGTTGTATCTCTCCCCTTGCGACACGCGTTCAAATCGACATTTGTGTCAGGCGTGGACGGAAGCTTTGATGAGGGCGTCCGTCCGAGCTTCTCGAGTGCGTTTTATCGGTGCCGGTGAACGAACTGGGCGTGCGACCGAGCAGTCATGAGCCTTGTCATCACGAGCGGTCCGTCTTCCTACCCGGGTGAGCTTGAGCTCTACGGGAGTCGCGGCAAGGTCCCACAAGGTACCATAGCGATACAAAACAATACCTCGAGCGCGATTGGGAACTGCCCGGTCGCTTGGCGGACACCCGAAGCTTACCATCCGTTCATCGCGAAGACCCGGGCTCATGACTTCCAGCACTGGCATTGCAGCGTGCTTAAATGCTGCGTACCCCGCGCTCGATTTTGGTGGGCACCGACTCACCAGGAGGCCCCGCTTGTCTGCTCCTCTGTGACGCTCCGCCGAGATGCAGATGTTCTCTGCCCTATTTACCCTTTTGGCAATCGTGCTTTACGCGCGGGGAGCACCACTGTCGGGAAACAAAACAGAGCCTCACCTCGTAGCGAGGAGCTTTGGGCTGACTGTCTCCGGAAATTCTTACGTCGTGGACACCGCCGGTGGCCTCGTTTTCACCGTCAATAATCAGAACTGCGGTAAGTACCGCGCACTCTGATCGTCTGTGCTATAATATACTCCCTGCTTCGTCCGATAGACATAACATCTTTGAACTACAATGGCATCGAGGCTCAGGACCAGGTACCTGCTACTCACGGGAATTCTCGAACTTCAAGTCGTGCACCATACTGACCAATTGCTCACCAGAGTAAATACTCTCAGATTGTACGTATTATCTAGCTCAAGATCTGGCACAATCTCAGTCGAACTAGTCCTCTGGGCTTGGCTCCGCCACAGTGTCCTGGACGAAGATCGGTAATTACATCAAAATTACCTGCGAGACAAGCACCTTGGTTTGTGGCATTGCCATGTTGATCCCACGGAACCAGACTCATCTTATCCCAAAAGACGCAGTATATTGTCGCTCAGTACAAGACTGCCGCAGTCCACATGGCTACTTAGTTTGCACTTTCCCTTATTTCCTGCGAATTTCTCTCATTTCTGGCTAGCACCACTGCGGAGCCCTCGGTGGGCGAACTCAGATTCATCGCCCGCCTCAACCGCGCTACGGTTACCACTGGTCCGACCCAATCCGATATCAAGGGCGGCACTGCTATCGAAGGCTCGGACGTTTTCGAGGTCGGCAGCCAGACTCGGAGTAAATGTAGGATGTGGAGTGGCCATGTGCCACTTTGTTAATGACATTCCAATCCTATAGTCTATTCCTCCAAACGATTCATCGAAGATCAAGTACATGGCGCCACTGGGAGTGGTATCGGTGTATTCATGATCATACCTGGATACAGCTATGAAACTTCATCCGGTGGACCTTTCTTCAGAGACATTGACAACCAAGGCGGCGACCAGCAAGAAGTCTACTTCTACATGAACTCCGGTATTTATTCCCATCCTCTCCCAGCCGCTAATCGACTGACTCATCCTCATAGGACATGTACAAACTGAGGACTACCGACAGGGCTTGCACGGCCCTTACCTGTTGCAATTCACCTCCGGGTCTACGCCTTCTACTGCTGTTGACCTCGATTTTTGGGAAGGATTAGACATAAAGGGTCAGACCACCTTCGCGAACCGCGGATACGTCAAAGGGACTGCAACCGGCGTACAGAGCGGCTTGCCCATCGTACTCGGCTGGGCAAACTCCGCTGCTCAGTATTGGGTGCAAGCGGACTCGAGCGGCGGGTTCACGTCGCCGAAGATGAAACCCGGAACGTACACGCAGACGCTGTATCAGGGAGAACTGGCTGTCGCTACTTTTAGCGTCACGGTTCAGGTTGGGAAGACGGTTACGGCCAATATTGCCAGTACTCTGGCATCGCACAGTCCGATATTCCAGTTCGGAGATTATGACGGGACGCCGAAGGGTATGCTGAATGCCGAGTAAGTGTCACTGTACATTTGCCTCCCGATATTCTGGAGCCCTGACACCCTCTCGACGCGCAGCATGATTGAGACCATGCAGTAAGCGGAGGATTTAACGGTGTCAATTGCATCCTAAATATCTTCGTAGCCCTTCTGATGGCCGTATGCACGATTGGGTCAGAACTGTCACTATTTCACAAGGCACAGGGTATTTCCCCATGGCAGTGTTCAAAGACATTGGGACCGTCACTATCAGCGCGACCCTAACGAGCTCGCAGCTCGGGGCGAGGACTCTACTTATTGGTACCACACTCGCGTTCGCCGGCGGTCGACCGCATGTGAAGGTGAACGACTGGGATGGTACGTGTTGTCTATCGTTCCTGTGTTATGTGGTTTCACTGACGAGCACTTAGGCCCCAACCCTGGGGCTCCCAGCCAACCGGATTCGAGGGGGGTTACTCGAGGCACTTGGAGAGGAAATGTACGTCGCGTTGTCTTTCCTTTACAGTTACCGGAGTGGCGACCTCAAATCTTGTTCCTAGAACATCGCTTACACCGTTAGCATTCGTAAGGCGTCTTGTGACTCCTGGTGACATTTCTCGACACTGACCCGTCTCTTTCCCTGTTCAAAGCCGATGGCGTCCTCGGTATGTTTCATCATGCTCTCCTGTCATTCGTGTATGGAACGGTATCTTACCCTTGATTAGTGAAAGGCTCGAACACCATTATCATCTCCGTCATTTCAGGCTCATCTGGCAGCCAGTACCTGTGCGTGTGCCGCAATCGGATACGGGAGCGAAATTGATTGCCTCATCTTAGGTCCCCCAACTTTGTCTTCGACACCGTAATGCTCTACTGAGGTTTTGAAGGCCACTTTGTTTTTGTTCATGTGTCGTTGTACGGACTCCGCGGTCCCTTCTTTTTCGCCTGCATATTTGGGGGTGTATTCGTGTTACAAGATCATAACTTTAAACGGAATGTAGGGTAGGATTGGAACAATGTCATGTCTGACGGATTTTGCGAAGGCGAGAAGTTGTGGGTCCGAGTTTGGCGCACCCGGTAAGGACCGAAGCGAAGCGGATGATCGCCGGCAAACTCAGCGCGCCACAAACGCGTCTTGCCACAGTGTACTTAACGCACTACATACACGCGGCTGACAGACATACACTGCACTGACCGCAAGAACTTGAAGAAGAAGAGAAGGCAGCCGCGGAGCATCTCTGACTCGGCACAAAGGACACCCTAATACATTGATGGCTACGGAAGGCGCTCACCTTGAATCTGACTTGTCCGACAGAGATTGGGAGAATGCCCGGTGCGCAGGGATCTCTATTTACCGCTGAAGTCAAGACATGAATGTTTTATGTTCCTGTTCTGCGTTATTAGCGTCTCCCCTGCCTGGTTTTCTGCGTCTGAATCACATGATTCCGAATTGCAAGCCTTGAACTCAGAACTGTCACAGTGGACGGACAGCCCAGATCCCAAGCGTCCGCCGCATACGTATCGTGATGGCAGCACCATTGACTGGCTGTACGAAGAGAACTTGGAACGCCAGAGGAAGAACAGACTGAGAAGCCAACGCGGTGCTAAGGGCATTCTTCTGCCGACCCTGGACACCATGAAGATGTGGTTCGTCATAGTAGCTACTGGCATTGGAGTGGGAGTCACTGGTGCTTCGTTAGATGTCTTAGTCAAATGGTACGCTGGTTCGTTCTTCTGCTGTGCCTTCTCATCCGTTGTGTTACGTCGCATATCAAAGGCTAGGAGACCTTCGGGAAGGTCGTTGCTCCTATGGATTCTTTTACAATCAAGTAGCTTGCTGTAGCGGCTTAGACCGTACGTCGTCGTCTATAAATTGGACCATGTCGTCTACCAACGCTGGAAAATCATTATCAGCGGGTGAAATCTGCACGGAATGGCGGACTTGGTCCGAATGGTTTAGTGTACATTCCATTCTGGGCCAATCTCTGCTACAATCTTTCGTTTACATGGCCCTGGCTGTAAGTGACATGACTCAGGTAGAACGATTCCCTCCAGTACAACGAAGCATTATAGGTCGTCTTCGCAGGAAGTGCCGCGATTTTAGTGCAGACCTATGCGCCGTAGTATGTCGAGTCTTCGGAGTCTTTTTACAGGACACTGACACCCGGTTCAGCGCGTTCCACACTGGAAGTACGTCCCCTCTCGTTATATTTTGAGAGTGGATAGATATTTGACTGTGCTTCCGTCCTGTAGTCCCCGAAATTAAGGCTGTCAGTGTCTTTTGCGTTGCATTGCTGCTGGACCCACATGATTTCTGTGCAGATACTAGGAGGTTACGTGCTAGACGCATTCTTGAGCCCATGGACGCTCCTGATTAAGGGAGTCGGGCTGGCTCTCTCCGTCGCTTCTGGCCTGTCCCTCGGGAAAGAGGTCAGTATCGTTAGTGTTGTCGCTGGGCACTGACGTTTGCGTACTGTTCAGTGCGTCTTACCCATCATTTTCAGGGTCCCCTGGTTCATGTGGCGTGCTGTATGGCCTACAATCTGTCCGGCTTCTTCCCCCAATTCCGCCATAACGAAGGTGAGTTCGAATGCTTCAGGGAGGGGAGGGTGAGAATGCATAACTAAAACTCGTCGCTTAGCTCAGAAACGCAAATTGCTAGCTGCAGCCGCGGCCGCTGGTGTATCCGTGGCATTTGGTAGCCCTTTGGGCGGTGTTCTGTTTGGGTTAGAAGGTGCGACTCTTGGAACGATTCTCCGCATTCCTCTGCTGACAGTGCTTCCGTGCGGTCTTAGAATTGGAGACTTTCGCCAACGAGACTGAGGTTATCTGGCGAGGATTTGTCACGTCTGTGATCGCCGCAGTCTCGCTGCAATATGTCGATCCCTTCGGCACGTCAAAATTGGTCCTGTTTCAGGTAAGTTGTTTTATCACCATCGAAGGGTCCTTTCAGCAATTCCTGGGCTCGCGTAGGTAACCAGCGGCAGTGACACATGGCGCGCCTTCGAGCTGGTATGTGTATGACTTGCTTGCTCCGGGCACTGATAACAATGGAGGACCTGAACGATTCAGGTTCCCTGGCTCTTCTTGGGCGTAATCGGTGTAAGTCGTACGGGTCGAGAATGACTGTGTTCAAACGACATCTTTTTCTTTCAGGGCATTTTGGGGTCCCTCTTAATAAAGCTGAATGTTGCAGCCGCCGTATACCGAAGGAACAGTATCATGCACGAGTGGCCGGTCTTGGAGGTGATAGGTGTAAGCGCTATCACTGCCGCCATCAGCTATCTTGTAGTATTCCTCAGGTGTGTAACATATGTCGTCTTGTACTCGGTAACCCACCATTTATATCTCGTTCTAGGGTGCAGTCCTCAGAACTTGTGGCAAATTTATTCCAGGAGTGTGATGCAAGTAAAGGCGATTATCATGGATTGTGCAAGTAAGTCTAGTACCAAGGCGTCCTCGTGTTGGATACTCAGGCATCTGGGCATAGTCCTGTCGCTATGTGGAGGAATGTCTTTCTTCTTACACTCACTGCAACTGTGAAGATCGGGTTGACTGCATGGACATTTGGAATGATGGTGAGAAATTTACGGCTTAGTCGCTTGAGTTAATGTGTATGACGCTGGAACTTGTCAAGGTCCCTGCTGGTATATTCCTCCCAACCATTGCGATAGGAGCTTCACTGGGCCGAGCAGTAGGCCTCTTGACGTATGTCGTAGTGAATGCTGTTTATTCATGTCTGACTAAGTCGCCCAAAGGCAAGGGATGTATCGAGCGCATCCAACGTCTTGGATCTTCTCCTCGTGCCCTCCCGATCCTACAGTGCGATGTATCTCACCGGGTTTCTATGCCGTTATAGGCGCTTCTGCAATGCTAGGCGGTGTTACTCGGATGACCAGTACGCATATCACATCCACTGATAACTCGTCCTGTTGCTCATTCTACCATCCCCATCAATCTGTAGTTTCGCTCGTAGTAATCCTGTTCGAGGTACGTCTTCCGATTATCCTCGATGTCTTGACATTAATCTCGCTGTAGCTCACCGGCGCACTATCACACGTCTTACCCATCATGATATCCGTGATGGTATCTAAATGGGTGGGGGATGCCTTTGGCGAAGGGGGTATATACACGGCCTGGATTGCGATGAGGCGCTATCCATGGTTACCGTCAGTCGAGTATAAGGATCAGGGCGAGGTTGCGGCGCAAGTCATGAGACCTGTGGACGAATTAGTCGTGATCGAGAACCGCAAGTGCACATTGAAGGAACTTGGTGCGTATGGAGTTGAACGTCGCACGCCCGTCCGCTATAATTTGTCGCTTTCAGATGCTCTCTTGAAGGCCCACGAATTTCACGGCTTCCCTGTAGTTCAGGAAGGACAATTGCTAGGATACGCTATCCGCGATAGACTGCGAGCGTTCCTCAGTATGTTGTCCGCTGCATACTTCGGTCTTCCCCGCAATACTAAATGCAAATCAGACTCATACAGATCTACGGGAGCTGCCACCGAGCAATCAGAGCAGATATGTTCCTTCCTACCGATTAGGTCTGAGGATCCTGGGTCCGCCGATCTTTCCCCTGTCCTCGAAAAAGCGGTATTGCAGCTCCGGAAGGAGGTGCCTCAGGAGCTCGTTGTCAACATGTTCCAAAAACTGGTGAGAACTTTTTAATCCTCTCATATTCGAATTCGCTCATACTCAACACGGCGTAGAGCCTGCGTCATGTCCTCTTTACCCAGTCGGGGAAATTAACGGGCATGATGACCAAGTCGGACGTGGTTTCTTTCCTGAACGCTCATTTCCCTCATGCAGCCGCATTAGCTGTACCTCCAGGCCAGTCGCCCTGGCCTTAGATCATTTTAGCTACTACTGGTGTTGTAAATATGAAGCCATGCGCGGACAGCTTCATTTCATGCGGTATGTGCGCACCAGCCACAATCCCCGAAGCCGGAGTCTTCGGAGCCGCTGCGCAGTCTCCGTAGTGACTGTTTACCGAGTTGCCACCGACGCGACCGTGACCGCCGTCCATTACGACTTCACTCAGTCTTGTCTGTCCAACGTTCACTAATTCTCGCAGCTGTAAAACAACCCGCTCATTACTATGCCGGTCCCGGATAACTACGACGACGATGTGTTCTCAAGCTCAAGACTGCATCCTAAAACAAGCACGCTGTCTCCTCGCCGATCCCCTTCTCGACAGAGCATATTGCCTCGTCGGTCTACAGCTTCATTACGAGGAGGATCTTCCAGCCTCGCAGAGGCAATGGACGAAAGCGCTGCTAACGGGAATGGCAGGCATTCGCTGGCGCACGAACTTGCTGTGGCACTGATGCCAGAGCCTAGTACTGGCTCCAAGCTACTGGCGGAGGAGTTTGGGATTGAATATGATGAAGGTGCCGAGGGTATAGACGAGGAACCTGAAGGAGCGGAGCCTGCTGTTGATGGGTCGACAGAGCCCGCTGACCAGCTAGGCTCGGAACCCTTGGGACCACCGCGTGCGGTGACACCTCCGGCATTGTCAGTAGACATCCCTTCGGAGATCGACCCTTCCTTCGGCAGTCCCGTATCTACTCGGCGGCGGAGGCCTAAGCCAGAGCAAGATGCCATGGACGTACTTGCCCATGATCTCGAGAAGACGGAGAAGTTCTTATCTCACCTGCGAGGGATCGACTCAGACATGAGCGCCTCCCATACCCTTCCCCCACTAGAGAAATTTGCCTCGGATATCATACGTCGAATTAACGAAACTGCTCGAGATCGGGAGGGGCAAGTGCGGGCGTTGCTGGAATACGACCGTGAATTCAGGAAGATCGCTGGGGAGGTAAACGGCAACGACGTCTTGGGTCAGCTGGACGAATGGGAACCTTTGGATGATGATCTGTTCGACAAGCCTTTCTCCACCGAAGCCCCCAAGCCAACTGAAAAGGCACTCAGAGCTGTGGTGGAAGAGTCACAATCGTCCTACAATAACGATTGGGAGACGGACCCGGATCGCAATCACTTAGGTGATGAGGACGAGGACGATGATGCAGATCCTCAAACCCCCGCAGTCAAAGATACATTCCCTCCTCCACCACTTGTCGTCGGTCCTCCCACGCCCGCGAAAGCCATCGCTCAATTAACACATTTGCGGACATTCACAGCATCTCTTGTCTCGTCCCTGACCACGATCTCCGAGCACACTCAGATCAACAGTGCCGCCACGGCGGAGACTGGCCGAAAGATTCGCGCCCTGAAGAACAAGATTGGAGGCTGGAGGACGGAGTGGGATAGTGCAGAGCAGAGTCGGTTAAGGATCGAGAGGTGGGAAGCCGGAATTCAGGATGGGGAGAACAGTGTTCCTGGCACGCCTACAACCCGTTCCCCTGGTGCACGGAGAAGGCTTGACGGTAGAAAGGTCGTGCAAGAACAACTCCATGGGTTCGAGCAGGCCTTGCTAGAAGCTAGTCTGAAGACGCAAGCGATCATGGCGGCATCATGAGCGTTGCATTCTTTCCTTATTAGTTGTCCATATTTCTATATCTATCAGTCGCGTTGGAAAGCTGTCCTCTATACCCCCAGTATTGATTTATCACGGATCGTTAACGAGCACTGCACTGTAGCCCCTTGTCATGTTTATTAGAACACTATGATACACTACACTCTTGTCTACTCATCCTTCTGGTTTAGACATCTGACTCAATCTAACCGCTGCATGTAAACCAGTTTGATCTGCGGACGCACCAATTACTTCGAGGCCGCTGAAAAGGTGTGAAACGTACCTGGCGTCAACTGCTTCCTTGCGCACGGCCCTCTTAGGGTCGTCGAGAATGTTGCTTAATTCCTTGAGGACGGTAGATTTGTAAGGATGCAGTTTGTCATATCGCACCGACTTCGGCAGTAGACCTAGATATTTCAAAGCGGCTACCCTCACACGCTAGAATGAAATGATCAGTCGACGCATCCTTCCTTCCGGAATACTGGATAAGGACGCACGACGGAAGGCATCTCTTCTATTTTACTGTTTTCAAGCATGGCAGAGACAAGAGTGCCAATGTGCTCAGCTATGATACTGGAGCCGTTTGGATCAGTGTCCGTCGCACTATGAAGGGTGCTGATCACGTTGGCACGGATGTCCGGATCCCGCAGCTGCAGACCACGAAGAAGAAGGGGTATAAGCTACAGGAGTCGGTGAGGGCTCTTCACTCGTCCAGTAGGAGCGAATGGCATACGGTAGGCATTTCCGATACATAGGTTGTCTTGGGCACAGTCTTGATCAACGAAGTGAGGGCTACCAAATACGCAACTTGCTGACGGCCATCTTCGTGATATCCCAGATTAACTCCCAACAGCCATACATTAGAAAATATGCTTACTGGCCGCGCCCTTGGCACCTTCGACTATCTGGGGCAGAAGCCTGTTGCAGTAACGCTGGGCGAAGAGTATCTACCGATAAAACAACTCGTCGTAAGTGACATCACGGACTCGAGCGCGGTGGACTGACCCTAATAACTGCATGATTGTATTTTGTTAGGATGTCATCTGCAGCTACAATACCGCCCAAAGCCCTGGCTGCGTCCCAGTTGATGTCCGTGTCGTCAAATACTTCAAATAAGCGGTCAACAAACCCTTCCGCTGAAGGATGGCCTCTTGTAGCTAGAGCTTTAGTCACCTTAGCTTGAGTCAGAAGGCTATCACAAAAGGTACAGACAGAATCAAGCTCACCCACGTCCAAGCGGATATCGAGAGTCGACGACGTACTACCGGTCGATCCGCGACTGCAATGTCACTTGGCCAAATTTGCTCCTGGCAGGCAGTCAAAAATTGGGCGGCATCTAGGTGGTAGATGAATATGAAATTACAGCCATCGACAAAGATAGACTTACCATCGCATCTTTTGTTGGTAACGGAGGCAATTGAATACCACGCAGCTTCTCTTTGCAGGAGGGTTTCCGAGTGATGGACGCTCCAAACGTAGAGCTGCTGTAGGAACTGGGAGGTATCTGCAACGGGCAACGCGACCTGAAACACACGGAGGATTCAGCATGAAGTGGTAAGTGGCATTGAGGAACACATACGTCTTTATGCAGCGCAATAATCGCCGCTGAGAATAAGACGATCATATTCTTCTGCAATGAAGGTGCACTGGGCTGATTTCATTAGGTGCTTCTTACACGCGCACACATCTCGGGACTGACCTCTAGAGGTTGGAAGACCTGGTCATCAGGTATTTTAAGGCTACCAAGCGCGAGGATTTTTGCATTCCCATGTAGATAAGCTTTGATAAGACTATCCAGGAAGGACTGTTGCTTGCTATTGCGAACAATGTTTCGTCAGCAAAAGCCGTTCTCGGTAAGCGTACTGATATGTGCTCACGGTGTAGGTATTACCTGTACCACCAAAGTGATAATCTCCCCGGCCGTCTTCAAAAGACGTGGCTCTGAAGCCACCATATGCAAGCCAGTAGCCTGAAGCACAGAGTAAATGAACAGATTGTACAACCGACACACAAGGCGGTCGAGGTATTTCGCCACGTCTAGGTGGCCGAGGTCGACCTTATCCTTCAAGACGTTTCGAAGAGTGAGGAGGATGGAATGCGCGTAAGCCGCACTAGGCTCAATGTCCTCCTGCGAATGAGCAGTAGATCCGCATATAAGGTCGAGCTTCGTGGTTAGCCGGACAACAAGCGTTTCAAACAGGCTGGGCTGTTTGCAAAGCTTAGATAAAAATGCCAAGGTTTGCCAGCATTTAGCTCGCTCGGAGGCGGCCTCTCGCGGAGGTGCACGGTCAGGAAGGGTACTGAAGAGTAAAGGCAAGGTAGTCCCTTCGACATGCATGGGAGAGCGAGTGGACACAGTCGACAAGAGGTCTAACGTAGAATCGCTATACGGCGAGGAGACACGATGAGAACATGCAACGAGGAGTAAGTAAGTCAGTTGTACTGACATGATCTCTTCAGTATTAGCCCATTCCAAGGGGATGATCTCGTTGACATTGTGGACGGTATAGCCCAGCTCATCATTGCTCATCAGCCCCTTCGTTGTGACCAACGCCTTTAATCCCTCTAGAGCCGTGGTACAGGAACTTTCGTTTTTCAGGCCAACAGTCATGATGCCAAGTAGGTCGTCCTTGAATTGGGCTAGTTTGACCTCGGACTCTGACTCCGGTGCGGAGTCACGAGCAGCCTTGACCAGCTCAGTCAACAACGTTAGGGTCGGCGTCCGATTGGACGCCTCGTCAGGATTGTGGAACAGTGCGGTAAGAAGAGGTACAGCTTTTGCAAGGGTATAGGTAGAAACGGGCCCTGAAAGGAAAAGGAAGAACATGAGTGCCACTCCACAATCACTGACAGCCATTGTTTTCACCTGTCGTCGAGAGGAAGGCGCATAGCGTCTTGACGGCTGGTTTTGCCTGACTTTTCTCCGGTTCCTTCAGGAGGTCTAAACACTCGTGGCAGACGTCTTTAACTAGACCGGGCGTGTCTGCTGTCTTCCTATCAGCATAGATTACCTTTACCAAGGTCTGTGTGGTCTTAAGCGCTTCTCCCTCTGTTTCTTGATCAGTTGGTTGGAATATCTGTATATGTGTGAGCAGATTGCCATGTTTGACAGATGCGGGCATGCCTCGAGGCGGAGACAGTTCCATAGCTTCTTTGCAAACGATGCTGCAGTGGTTGCTCCATATACTGGAAGACATAAGACAAGACTCTGTAGCGTATCTCTCTGCATGTACCATAATTAGTGAATGGAGAAGTATCTCGGGATGAGACCCCACCTTTGTCACGGGTGATCCCGCAGTTAGTTTCTCTATGAATAGCGGTATCCCGAGAGGTCCAAAGGCGGCTGTTGCGCTCAAGCATGACCTACATATCAGATCGTAGTCCCAGAGTTGACGTGGTATCGATCAGCAGAGCTGGTTTACTTCCATACCTTAAGGCGTTCTTCAAATCATCCGTCGTGATACCATACGGGTCATCTGGAGGTGGTCTGAAGGTTATGGGGAAATAGCAAAAGGTTATGTTAAAGAAGTCCTGTGATCCCATAGTTTGAGCGCGTAGCTGACGACGTACAGGCAAACATACCTCGATATGGTCTTTCACGTCGAACTCAAGGAGGAGTACTCGGTCAATCCCGAAGCATAGTACGAGATTCCGAGGATCCTTCTCCCCGTTCACGAGAGATATATAGCCCGGCACGAATCGTTTTGATATGCCTTTCAAAGCTATCGTGACCTGCATTCGTCAGGCGTTTGCGTAGAAACAAATAGAGCAAAAGGACGCGCCATCTCGGTGTTTGGCCAGCATATTGTCGATAATAGTTAGAACGATGAACCGCTGCGACTGGACGAGGGACTTCATCTTGACGTGCGCCAGTATCCTGCAGATGACCCTTCAGACAAGCCATGAGAGATATAGACAAGATATGGCTCACGCATCGAAAACATCGACTGCATCGCCAGAAGTGAAGGTTGGTAGGTAGGTGAGAGACAGTAGGCCCTTCAGAGCGGGGACCACAGTCTCTGGATCTTCTAGCTGCCCGCACAAGAAGGACACAAGGACTTTCACTTCCATTCAGACGAAAGTAAGCTCAGGATCTTCTGTCACTAAGCGACTAGTCGTACCAGATTGGCGATTGAAACGCTCAGGAGGGCATCCTGATAGAACAGCCGACATAAATTCGACGCCTACATGATATCATGGATGTGAAGACATGATTTCTGCTAGTCCGACTACCCACATTACCCTTGGTTCTAAGTGCATCTTCCTCCGATGTAAGGTACTCTCCCAAAGCTTTCACTACGTCCAATAGTGTGCCCTGCCCGTCCGAGATAGCTGCAAAGGGATTTTGGTACCTTTGTATGTCAAAGCGCCACTTACACATACCAGCGACAGTCTCTTCAACATCTTGGTCTCTGCCAGAGGCCATCCACGTCCGGACGAGCCTCCCTATTCTTTCTGGACCATCCATCTGTTCGATCCGGATTTACTGGTCACAAAGCAGGAGGGAATGAGAGGGACGCGGAGTTTGCCGCGGGCCACTTCTCTCCCTTAGTACCCTTACTGCCACAGTTCTCTCTCTGCCACCGTCTGGTCCAACGTCGCTGCTGCTGTCGGCTGCGCTGTGGAATCCCTCGCTTGCCGTTGGGCATGATACGCTTGAACTCATCTCTACGTCTGGCGTCGAGAAGACCCCGGTTTATCAACAGCTCCCGTTTTCAGTTCTCGACCTCTTTTCGCGTTCAGAATGAACGTCCCCCGCGCAATCCGGAAGACGAGTTCACGGACAAGTTCAACTATAATCCAGAGGTATCCTTCTCAGAGAGTGCAAATCCGGAGCATTTTCATTATCCTACGGTGACGGCGAATGACCTGGAATGCCGAGAGGTACCACCCACAGAAGTGCGGATGCTCGTCCGAGACTTCATCGAAGACTCTCTTTACAACCCTAACTATGGGTACTTCCCTCGGCAAGCAGTCATTCTCGATCCCCCAAGCGCAGGCTTCGACTTCCCCTCCCTGCGGAACGTCGTCGACTTCGAGCAGAAAGTGAGCGAGAAGTACTTCTCGTACGGGTACGACACGAGTGGGCCGGGGAGGCAGATATGGCATACGCCCACGGAGCTCTTCAAGGTCGCCTCCTTCCCTCCGCCGCTGGCCGTGTATCCCGGTGCTGATCAATGATAAATTATCCTAGCCATGGTACGGCCAAGCCATCGCCAAGTGTCTCATATCAGAGTATCTCCTCAAGTACTTCCCGTACGAGGATTTCGTGATATACGAAATTGGTGCGGGCAACGGCACTCTTGCTTCGAATATCCTGGACTATATCCGCGACAATCATCCTGACGTGTACGACCGAACTCGGTATAATATCGTCGAGATCAGCGGCAGATTAGTGGAGGTACAGAAGGAACGTCTTTCCGCTAGCCACCCTTGCGTCAGAGTGAACCACCAAAGCGTGTTCCATTGGAATAAACGGGAGCCTGCGCCATGTTTTTTCATCGCTATGGAAGTTATTGTGAGTTGAGTTACGATGACCGCCGAGGCAAGGAATGAAACGTCTGTAGGATAATTTTGCGCATGACGTGATCCGTTACGACCTTCGAACCCTTGAACCGTACCAAGGATGGATTGCGGTCGACCGTAATGGCGACTTCAGCACTCACTACACTCGTGTGACCGACCCTCTCATCGCTTCCTTCCTGGACATGCGCGGACGGCTCAAGCATCCCCCACCCATTAAACCTGTGTTCCAAAAGTTCCCAAGCCTCCGCAAAGCGTACGCGAGCATGCCGCTGGCGCCCAATCTCTCACAAGAAGAATACATACCCACGCGGCTTCTAAGCATGCTCCTCACCCTGCGCGAATACTTCCCCCGCCACCGCCTCCTGCTCTCCGACTTCTTCTCCCTACCCGACACGATCCCCGGGCACAACGCGCCAGTCGTGCAGACACGGTTCCGGAACACGACCGTGCCCTGCACAACGCTCACCGTCAAGCAGGGCTACTTCGACATCTTCTTCCCCACGAACTTCGAGCGACTGCGCGATATGTACGAGCATGTCCTGTCCGAGCCGATCTCGTCGTCGGAGGCGCTCCGGGCGCTGCCGCAGGCGACGAGCGCGTCGTCGCTCTCGCTCGGCTCGGACTTCTTTTCGTCGTACCATCCGAAGAATAGGCGGACGCCGCTCGACGGGGTCGTCTCTGCGAGCGGCTTGCCGGTCGGAGAGCGCAAGTCGAGCGTGTTTACGCATGCGGAGTTTTTGCAGACGTATGCGGACCTCGCGAACACGAGGTTGAAGAACGGCGAGAATCCGATGTTGGAGTATTATCAGAACGTCAAGGTGCTATTTTGATAGTATCGCTGGGCATCCTCACTACGTCGATCTATCGTAACACCGCTTGCTTGGATCTATACTCTCATGATGTACAGATAATAATGAAAAGCCTCGCCCAGCTCCTTGATCTCTAGTGTCGTCCCCGGCCTCGTAACATACCGGCGGCGAAAATGGGGCTGTCCGAAGGTAAGGTAGATAAATGTGCCTTTGCCCTTGCGTAGCACTCTTCGCTGCAGTGAGACACTGGAGAGATGGGACTAGGGGGTATCGTACCTGATGACTTCGTCTACCTCTTTTGTGCAGTTTTCCACGACTTCCTGTGGGGGGTCCTGTAGGGTTTGCGGAGAATTGGCGTGGAGGCACGGAGATGAGGCATATGGACCTTACCCAGACGTCGCCTTTGGAGGTCATCATGGCATCCATCGTTCCTGCAATTTCGATAATAGGTGGATAGCTCGGTATGAACCCAGATGGTGATCCTTGCCTTTGTCGATTGCTACGTCGAATGTATCAGAACCGAACGACAGGGCCCTGACGTCCATCTCGTGCCCTTAATGCGTAGTCAGGACGCGGGTTGTGTCGAGGCAGCATAGCTACGTACATTCCATCTCTGGTCTGGGTTCGCTATGTCTTTCCTTCATCTGTTGGATGACCACGGACGAATACTGCATAGCAATCTGTGTGGGTCCCCAAGGATAGGGCGAAGATCCAGCTTACATCGACATTTACAATATTTTTGTATCCATCATCGTACATCTTCAGACATGAGTGTTCCTGGTCAAGATGCAAACTGATGGAAGACAATTCACCTGCTCGGACAATCTGGAGTTACCACATCCCAGCATCAATATGCGTGACGCCTTGTCGGGAATCAGCTCGCGAAACATGTCGGCCACATCGTCGTAGGACTTGAACCAGTCGAAGGTCGTCCCGTCTGACTCCCTGTCCATGATTTATTATCTGAGGAAGTCTGACATGGGGAGATTTCCTCACTTCTCGTATCTCTTGTCCCTGCATCTCAACATACATATAGGTCGATTTCAGCAGAGCAGAGTAGAGCAGTATATTACCAATATTCCTTCGTCCCATACTCCTCGTTACTCTGAGGCAGAATATCGAGACCCATTACAGCAGTTGCAAACCGCGGAAAGAGATCTATGCAAGGGATCTGGACAGATCCCGACCGGGAGACCGGCCGTGAACTGACGAGATCTGCCCGATCCCGCCGGGGCCGAGAGTGCGGGGTTGGGCAGAAGGCTGGACTCGGAGCGCAACGACGTTCTCTGCGTTTCTTCGTCCCACTGCTGCTCGCTGACGACGACTACCATGGTATGTAGTATGCCTTTGGGCGGTGGACGGTAACTGGCCGCTGACGGAGAGGCATAGTCCGCGTATCCTGCGTATGTTATGGGAGGTTTGTGTATCGTCGGAGGGGTCACGGGCTTTACGAGGACTCGGTCGGTGCCCTCGCTGGTCGCTGGGGTCGGGTGCGTATGCTTTGCTACGACTATCGTATTGGTTGGTACTCATTCCGACAGTGTGGGGCTGCTCTACCTCTGGAGCGCGGATAGCATCAGGAAGGGCACTGCGAACGGTCTGGAGGGCGCTCTCGGTACGTGCATTCAGCCAGCTTATCGCAAGGCGTCGTAGCGCAATGTTTAACCTCGGCTTAGGTGCTTCCGCTTTACTGTTGCTTTCTTCACTCCCCCGTGTCGCAAAGGGACCGGTGCCCCAAGTCCTTGCTGCCACTTCCACCATCACAGGACTGTACTACGGCAAGACCGTGTACGACCTGTCTCGGCACTGAAGAATAACTGATGTCTGTATGCTAATCTGTATGTGTGCTGCTTGTATATTCATCTATCAATGCACCCTGCTCTGCCCCTGTGGATGATGGAAGGATGTGTTCGCATTTAACTTCGTAATTGCTAACGACCAGGTAAGCCCAGTGACAACTCAGGATTGCTACGTCTGAGGTGAGAGGTTAGTAACGACTTCGCGAACTCGACCCGAGTGGGATGGCGACATTGGTGAACCGGTGACGCCCGATGTGTGTCTAACTGATGACTGGTGACAATCCCCTTACAGTATTTTCGCGGTGCGATTTCCGCCGTATCAGTTGGAATAGTGGAAGTCAACGACAAGGTGGAAGATATGACGAGCGTACCTAGTCACCCCCGGACAATAATGCAGCTTTGGTCCGACAGCAATGGAATGTGGCCTCAACTGCGGCATTCCGCAGGCCGTAACCGATGCACATGCCGACGGCAAAACGCCTAAACTAAGAAACGTTGTGGCGCAAACGCGTCGCCCCTCGTGCGGAATTGCACAATTACAGATCATTCATGCAGCCAATTTTCGCTGTTATTCCTCTCCAGTTCCAAGAGCGTGTTGTACGATAGCTACAAGAGACGACGACGATGCCCGCCAACGCCGTCGCGGAAAATGTCCTCGGCACGATGGGTAAGTGTACAGGGTACTTTGAGGAAAACTACTGACCCGGGAGCCACGACTGGAAATTAGGCACGATATGCTGGACAGCCCAGCTCCTTCCGCAGATATGGAAGAGCTGGCGGACGAAGGACACAGAGGGCCTCTCGCACTGGCTCGTGTACGCTTATCGTCCCTCTCCTCAGCCTAATCCCCTCACTAACGTTGATACCTTCTCCAGCCTCATATGGACCTGCTCCTCCGCCTTCCTCGGCGTCTACGCGATCGTGCAGGACCTCAACATCCCGCTCATCCTCCAGCCGCAGCTCTTTGGCGGCTTCTCGCTCATCTCGTGGGGCCAGGTAAGTGGTGTGTCGCAGCGGGCAGCGATGACCCCACCGCTCACCCCTCGGCAGTGATTAATATCGCTGGTTTCTCTAGTGCCAGTACTACGGGAAAAAGCGCTCGCTGAAGACATGCTTGCTCATGGCCGCCGCCATTGCGCTCGTGTTGGGCGGGTTCGAGGCCGGGATGGTCTTCGCCGTGCGGGTAGGCCAGTTTCGGAATTGTGCCTGCGGGGTTTATTCACGGTTTTCGTAATCCCCAGCCGTCCTTCAACGCAGGCAACCAGCGCCCCGTCCAATTCTTCGGTATCTTCAGCTCCGTGCTCATCTCCGCCGGCCTCCTGTAAGCTCCCCCGCTCTCCCCTCCTGGTCACCATATACTGATCGCCCCCCTTCCCCTTGCAGCCCACAATACTACGAGATCTACAAGCACCGCGAGGTGATCGGGATTTCCACCATGTTCATGTTCATCGACCTCATGGGCGGCGTATTCTCGGACCTGTCGCTTGCGTTCAAGGACCGGTTCGACGTCATCGCGGGCGTCACGTACTCGCTCGTCATCGTGCGTCTTTCTGTTATATTACGACTGCCGTATTTTTCAGGTGCTCATTCTGCGTTTGCCGGTGCGTAATTAGGTGCTGGACGCCGTGGTAGTGCTGTGCGCGCTGATCCTGAACCCGCTGGCCCGCCGGCGAAGGCGGCGTGAGGCTACAGCAGCAGTGGAGCGGAATGAGCAGGGACCCTCACCGCTTCCACCTGCGAGGGACGACGCCGCACGGACAGAGGAAGGCCGGCGGTCGATCACGCCCACTCTCCACGACGAAGAAACGAAAACATAAACCCGTAAGCTCAGCATACGACGTTAAGTATGTATTGTACTAGTACTGTACCTATTATACCCGTAAGCTGCAGGAGGGTTAGTAAACTACGGGTATGTGGGTATATGACTGCTACTCATTTCAGCAAGCACGCGTAGCGATAAATGCAAGTCCGTCCGACATGAAGAAACAGAAAAATGGCAGTGGACATTGATTCCACAGTGGTAAGGCAAGCCGGGATGTCGGCCCGGATCTCCCGGCCCTCGTCGATTGCCAGTGCACTCCTTCACGGCTTGCATGGGTTTGAAGCACCTGGGGGCTGGAGGTGGTGCATGACTAGGTCCCGTTCAATTTAATTTCCCCAGAGGACGCGGCATTGCTTCCAGTAGTGCTGCTGCAGGCGACTTCCCCTGACTCACTGTCTTTGCTGAAGATCACCACCCCCACGAAAGAGTTCTTCGCAAGGCTCGTAGTGTGCGTCCCGCGAATTTAATTATTGGATGTGACACTGGGGCCCGGCGACAGGGCAGGTCACGCATCAAATGCGCTGGATATCATGATGAATGCGGTTTGTTGCATGCACTGAAGCCCTCAGGCTCTGACACGGTTCTTTGGGCTTGGATGCCGGCCGCCCTGGCAGGTGTGCCGGTGACTTACCTGAGCTTACCTGTCACTGTCCATCGTCGTGCTCTGGCATTCTTCCAGATACACGACAGACGGTATCGCGATGCCCTCGCACTTCGCTTCGCCGGCGCCCTTGCTTCCTCGAGCTGCGCTTGACGGTGGCGGGTAATGAGGACTACATATAGCCCTCGGTGTTGAACTGGGCGCTGACTTAGCTGCCAGGTTCTACAACGTACCAGAACATACCAGAACCCTCTGGAATATTCTGGTATATTCCATTATTGTACAATGGCATGGAGCTCATGTGGGTCAGTGACATCATAGGTGGAGCTCAGTAGGATTATAGATATTCCACGTAGCTTAGTCAGCCTATGGGCCACAGTGTATATATACCCTGCAGCTCTGCTGCCTAATGACAAGGGTCGTTTATACGAGCTTTACCAGTAGCTACAGCATCCAACCAATACAGGTGAGTTGTGTAGGGCGCACTGTGCGTGCTGCTGCCTCCATAACTCTTCATCAGGTTATGAGCCCAAATAGGCAGCTTGCGTCTGCGCGGTAACTCGCTGCAGCGCGTTGCGCCTCGCTCACCTGTGCATCGCCCTATGCGCCCTCACAGGCTGCAGTGTGGCTTGATGCGTGATCATCGCCGTAGGCGCTGTTATCAGCAGCCATCAGGCTTGATGATCGATCCTGGGGTAACTCCCTAATGGAGCCAACAGCATGGAGCAGTGCGCCCTTATCGGGCTGCATAGCCTCGCTGATACTGATGAGATCTCAATACAGATTTCAGATCTCTCAACCGCTCCGCAACAATGTCGAACAATCTGATCGCCGTTGTCCCCGTCCTCGACGGCTCGAACTGGTCGCTCTGGTCCCAGCAGATGAAGGCGTACCTCATGTCCCAAGGCCTTTGGGGACACTGTGACGGTACAATTACCATGCCTGACCCTGTCGTAACCACCTACAGGACGGCAGC